CTGTAAGACTGCATGTTGGCAACCGTTATCTGACAAACACCACACTACCACCAGCACTACTGCTGATGCCGCTGCGGATGCCCGTTTGTCACCTAACCAACCGGTCTGGTTTTCGCATAAGGATTCTCCAACCTCCCTTCTCCTTCGTCTGCATCATCTGCCTTCTTCCCTTCCCCTTACTCAGAACTGACTGATCTGGAACCTATCACAGACTAATGCAGTAGCTTACCCTGTCCTTATATGAGCACAGATATCTCACCCACCCAATATTTATATGTATCAATGTCGCCACATAATGCCTACGAAGTACACACAAGATTGTCTGACCCATGTAATGTATCATACAAGAAATGAACACACATACCTCCTTAAATAAAGGTAAAGTTGTCCCTGTGCCTATTAAGCACTACGCCATGACGGCCTATGGGGGAGTGGATGTATAGATCTACATTTCCTTGACCTCGGCACTAGATGGAGGTTGGTCAGCTTCACGCCCCGGCCGCTTTACCCCCTGTACCCATTGGATAGGAGGCTGGGTAGTCCCCAGAGCAGGTCTGGACAACATGGAGAAGAGAAAATTCTTGGCCACACCGGAAATCAAAATCCAAGCCCTCGGTCGTCCAGCCGGTAGCTAGTCGCTATACCGACTGAGCTATCCCGGCTCTCTTATCTCCTTCAGTAATACGCCAAAATCATACATACACTTTCGAAATAATAAAACGGCGTCGTAAAGTGTTGATTATTGTACACTGAAAAAGCTTCTTTTCACAAATAAACCTTAATAATTTAAAAGTAACAGGCCTCTTAATACCATTGCAATAGCGTGAAATATTCTACTTATTTCGGTTACAAGTTTTAATTGTTTGTACTATGGAAATTGCAGGGTCACCTATGTTGGCGTCCTAATAACACGTGGTCAAGGTAATATTCGCTTACCAAGTCACGAAATATCCCTCTTTTATGGAAGCTCGCAAGAGCCCGTCTCTGGTCTTCCCTGTCCTTTAACCTGCCTCATAAGCCGAGTGCACACCTTTCCACTATTGCTTTAAGATCCAACTTAATGTTATCCTCTCATCTATGCCTAGGACCCCAGAAGCCTTACCAACTGTAAGTAACATGACCGCGCCATAGCTCAAGCGGTTAGTCACTGGCTTCCCACCGCGGCGGCCCGGGTTCGATCCCGGATCTGCTCAAGTGGGATTTGTGGTGGAGAAAGTGGCGCTGAGGCGGGTTTTCTCCGAGTACTTCGGTTTCCCCTGCCAATCTTCATTCCACCAAATTCTCCATCATCATAATCATCCGGGACAGGCTACAATAGGCCAATCAGTGGCCGCCGTGCCGAGTGGACCCAGCTGGATTCCACCCCCGACTAGGCGAATTAAAAAGAAAAACTGTAAGTAACATGAACTACGGAATCGTTTCGTACTTCTAAATTTCGTCTTTTCAAGAAAGGAAAATTGGCTGCTCAAAATGGTGTTGCCTTCGGTTAGTCATCATGCACCGCAGAAGTAGTGACACAGGAAGTTTCTCTGGCAATAATTCATGGGCCTATTAGCCGGCAGAGGCACGGGCCTGTCTCCGCCAGCAAGCCGAAACCGGCTCTGGAGCCTATTCAGCCTCCTGTCCAGTGGGTTCGGAGGTCCCCCCCCCCCGGGATTGGAGAAAGAGGTTGCGGAACACTGGTCTAGAAGATGTGGGAGCCTCGACCTCTGAAACCCTTGTGGGCCTTCATGGGCAGATACAGGGATAGCTTTACTTTTAACTGAGTACTTCCGTGTACATTGATACATCTTGTTCAGAATCGCCGCCACATTTTGCAGCCGTACACTAACTTCATGGAGCTCAACCCTTCTTGAGAAGCCGCCAGTTGTACAGCTATTCAAGAACTTTCCAAAATTTTATGTAACCCGAAGGTTCAATGCCGCGTTCAAAAGAGCCCTCCACTGGTCCCTATCCGGAGTCATATCCATCATGTCCACACCACCCCAAGCTATCTCACTAAGATCCATTTTAATGTTATCCACCCACCTATGTCTTGTTCTTCGTAGTTGTCTCTTTCATACTGGCTTTCCCACCAATATCCTATATGCACTCCTCTTCTCCATGATTCGTGTTACATGCACTGCCCACCTCATTCTCCTTGACTTGATCATTGATCACTTTATCACTTGGGGAAGAGTACAAGTTATGAAGTTCTTCATTATGCAGTTTTCTCCAACCTCCTGTCACTTCATCTCTCTTCGGTCCAAATATTCCCCTCAGCACACTGTTCTGAAACACCCTCATTCTATGGCCCTCCCTTAAAGTCAAAGACCAAGTTTCACACCCATACAGAGCGACAGCAAAATTATAGTTCTGTATATTACAATTTTTATGCTTTTGGACAGCAGACGAGAAGACAAAAGGTTATGGACTGAGTGGTAGCAAGCATTACCCGAGTTCAATCTCCTCTTAATTTCCTCCTGAATCAGGTTTCGATCTGTTATCGTTGTTCCCAAATATCTGAAATGTGCCACATTTTCATAACATCTGTTTCCTATCTTTATGTCATGATTTTGCCTTGCATTTTGGTGATGAGACAGTAACATATACTTGGTTTTCTCTGTGTTTACTTCTAGACCAACCTCTTTACTTGCATCAATTAAAGTTTGTGTGTTTTTCTTTATGGTATCTACATTATCAGCCAGTAGATTCATGTCATCGGCGTAGACCAACAGCTGATGTGTCCCGTTTAATTTCAGCGCTACCTAGTTCCCTTGGTCGTTCCTAATGGCGTATTCTAAAGCAAAGTTGAAATTAGTGCCGAGAAATCATCTAATTGTTTGAGACCATTTTGGATAGGAAATGTTTACCTATACAGACTTTACTATACGTTTCGTTTAAGCACATTTAATCAGCCTAACTACTTTCATGGGTATATTTCATTCTCAATGTGCAAGCATGTTACGGGCTCTCTCCCTCGCACCATACACGTATTTCACGTGCCGATCTACAATGGTTCATTAGTTATCGTCATTAAATCAATAACTAGCGAAAAATTCGGCAGGTCACCAAGTTATTACATATTTTGCATAGTATAAAAAAGTCTAAACAAAGGTCGCATATTTATCGGAAGATATAATGCCACGCATAATTTCAGAGTCCTAAATTAAGTGACTGTATTGTCATTCTCAGATCATGAGTTCACGTGACCCCTGTCCTGCTAGCCCTGATTTTACAAATTAAAAAGTAACAGGCTGGGGTGTGTTTCAGTGTCATAAATTCCGTACAAATTTTCGTAAAAAGTAATGCTTGGTTATGTGTCGTCAAATACCGTCTCTACAAATGCCTCAGATTCAAGAACAGAGAGTCCGAAATGTGGACGGTCTGCAAATTAGTTATTAGACAATTTTGTGTGGGCACAATTATCCTGAAGATCTGGCCGTTATTTATGTGGGAAAATTTCAAACTCAGAACACTGCAGTTAATTATAAGAGTCACTATATGTAATGACCTAAATGAATGAGTCTTATCATTGTATCTATCTCGCTAATTTTAATTCGTTTTAAGGATCATATTACTTAAAAGTCTAAATACGTTTTTGGGCATGTTCCCTCGAATATTTACCTGACAGAAGAATGTCCCGAATGAAGTTACGGGATCGCTAAGATAAGATGCTTGCATACAACTCACTGATTCAGAGATCATTAATGTTATATTATGGGTACGCGGTAGCGTATTTGGTTGAGCCACTATGCTACAAGCCGAAAGGTCGCGGGTTCAAGTCAAGATGAGGTGGATTTTTTCAATTTACTTAAACCTTCCAGCTGCACTATGGCCCTGGGTTTGTCTCAGCCTCTAACAGAAATGAGCAGCAGGAATCTTCCCGGGGTGGGGGGGGGGGGGGGGGGTAAAGGGCGGCCGGCACATAAGGCTGACACCCTTACCGCCATCTGTGAGTCGATTGTCTAGAAGTTGTGGGAGCCTCAATCTCTCACAACCCTATGGGTCTCCATGGCCTGTTACAGGGATAACTTTTAATATTCTAACAACGCATAATATGAGTGTCATTGGAAGAGCTGTCCTCTTCGTACCGCCGTTTTACTATATGTCGGTGCGTTATGCCCAATTGATCTGAAAGGCACTATAGCCTTGTAGATCTAGGCAGCAGAATAATGCATGTGTATGCACGATCTAAATGGACATGTTATTGCCACCGCAGAGGACCATTCGCATGTGTTCTTCTTTTTTCTTTTTTGCTAAGACTTGCTTTTCTTGAAACAGCACTGACCAAAGCTAAACCTCTGTCACTTTGCCTAATAGCCACGCCATAAAGAAGTGTTGTGATGCGAAGATAAAATTACACCGCCCAGTATTAACAATTCATAAATTCTTGAAGGGGTAATAATTTTGTGTCTCTCCTTTAATCCATTCATATATGAAGAATCAGTAAATAGGTCACAAATGGATATAAAACGTAAAACGTGATATTCGAACCTAAAAAAAACATTTATTTCTCGACATATCCTCCATTAACACTGATATACTTGTCCCATCGATTTACCAGTGCGTCAAAACCCGCAGCACAGAAGTTTTTGACTTGTCTCAGCTACTTCTGCACCTGGTCGGGCATCATCAGAAACTTTCGAACGTCTCTGTGGGAATTTCTCGATCCAGCTGTCAACCACTTTACGCGACAAACACTTTCTACCATAAACAGGAAATTTTTTTTTGAATATCCTTTGCATTACCTTTTCCCCAAAATGCACAATAGAACGCTGTTCCTCGGTGGTATACTCCCAAATCACGATCGCCATTTTGAATACCGAAATCAGCCTCTGAACATGCGCATACGCTTCTGCTACATAGACTGTCTTGAAGCTGGACTATGCTGCTACCTAGTGATACACCTACAAAACCTATTACGTCCATTACAGCTGTTTTACTTCCATTTGTGACCTATTTACTGACTCTTCTTCATATATTTACGTTTCTTGTTTATTCGTCATTTATTTATTTAATAAGTGTAGTTGCTGTTATATAAGTAGTTCATATATTATGCAGGCAATTATACCCAAATGTGCAACTGATGCCCAAAATCACAACACAGTAACTGTTTCCAGTATTGATTACAGATCCTAAACATGAACTAGAATCTGGGATTCATAAGCATACACTTTTCTCAAAACATTCATATAATTCTGTTGGCGACCCGTCATATATCAAGTGCAAGATATTAAACTAAAGAATTCTCAGCCTTGAAGTTATCCATTCTGAATGTCTCGAGTAGTGCCATAGAAAGTATGCTGTAATTATTGTACAATGTACAAACATGTCACCTGTGTGTGTGCGTGGTGAAAGTACCGAGCTCCAGAATTACAGAGGACCCTAGATGAGGCTATCAGGAATTAAAATTCTAGAGATAATTCCAACTATTACTTCAATCTCCAGTTAGCAGACATTAGAAAATGTGCCTCCTAATAAAATACTTCATTTTTTAACCATTTAAATCAGTTTTACATGTCAGAAGATTTCTTTCCTAACTGCTCATAGGCCTATCTACGAATATACGCATGGATCAAATTGTATATACGTGTATATGTGCTTTATAAATAGACTGAAATTTTAATGCAGAGTTCCATATTTTTAAGATGTACGATACGATGGATTTGTAAGATCGTATTTGTACAGAAACCGCAGTAAATAAATAATAAATAAATCAGACTTGAATAAAATCACTGTTCCTTCGTATCACTTTTATAATGGTCACTAATACAACCATTAGTTTTAGAAGAGAGATATAATGCTCGGTTTTAAGAATGTCTTGGCTTTTAGTAAAATGGTTTCCCTATTTTCTTAAGTATTTTTAGCAACTCTGGACGAGTTACAAGCGCTTTCTTTATCGCCTGGATGAGAGCTATTTCTTGGTAGAAAGGAGAAAAGGGCATGTCTTGCAATCCATAGACATGAACAGCTCCTTCACCATCGCCAATCACCAGGTTCAGTCCGGACGCTGTAAACTGAATCATCAGGTTTCCTGTGTCAGTTGGTGACGTTGCTGTGGAAGCCGGGACAAATATCTTATGTTTAATGTCCCACAGATGGATATCGTTAGCACTAATGCTAGCAATGATGGTCGCACTGACAGGACTCCAAGCTGCACCTTGCACAGATTCCATCGATGTGTTAAGTGTCAAGAGGGGCTGTACAACATCTTCAGTCCAAATTCTGACGCACCAATCTGCACCACAAGTAAGAAATATTTTTGAACAGAAAGGCGAAAATTGCATTGAATATACTGGGCCATTATGTGCTAAGAATACATCCATATGATGGTGCAAATAATTAACAGAACATTTATGAATGCAGCCTTCGTCCGTACCGACAAAATACGTGAGTGTATCCACTGGATGTCGTGTAAGAACTAAAGCAGCAGGATGGCGCGATACGGGGATATCGTGAGCTCTGCTTTTCCTAGGCTGATCAATACCTTTCATCGTCCCCTCCATGCGCGTTACCAACATCATAGGAAGACAACTGAGAGTTTCTTCTCTGCGATATTTCCAGATGCGGCCATCTTGACAGCACGTCATAATTTGTTCTTCTTTCCGCTGATATTCTTCCTCTCGAAACCAAAATATCTGCCATACTGGTTCGTATGATGGAGAAGTTTCACGATTGCTAAGAGCAATAACAGTTTTATTCCTTGCAGAAATATCAAGAATTACTATCGAGCCGTTATGAAATCCGCAAGCCAGTAGGTTTGGACGGTCTGTGGAAAAGTTAACGGATGTTACAGGGCTGTCGAATTTATATTTTCTTTCAGGTTGAGTGGGATTCTTTATAGTCCAGCAGCATACAAGACCATTTTTACGATCTTTATAAAAATATTTTCCGTATCCTACGGCTAATAAATCAGTGTTTAACGAATTCCAACACATACCTGTAACAGTTCTTCCACGCACATAGTCACTTGTGAAAGACCACAGCAGTTCCAAACGATACCTAAATTGTACATCCAGACGAAATGGATCCGGCTGCCTAAGTCCCCTGAATGCTTTCTGCTGATCTCGATACGTGTTACTCCCTAACAGCCGTTCCATTCTTGCACAGGCATCTAAGAATGCTTCACTTTTTGCCACTGACTCAAATTGTTCTTTAGGTGTGATATTCACGCCTTCATATGGTGACGATTTAGCGATGAATTTTATTTTGCTGCTTTCTTTAGATTCATCACTTACTTCTTTTTTCATAAATTGCATCTCCTTCCCAGTTCTTTCCTCCATGTCGTTATGGATGTCATACATATCCCACTCGGATACAAAAGTAGGCTTGTTAGACTTACTTCTGGTTGACGTGTTGGCCATTTTCCTCTTCTTAATTAAATCCATTGTTTGACTGTCTCTCTAAATCGCCCCTTTACTACAGTTACGTGCTCACAATACTGGCTGTTGTTCTCGATCAGTGCGCCAGCCTCGCTGGTCTGCCCCGCCCTGCTCTGCAGTGTGACTGGGTCGATCCAGGAGGTAGAGAGTGGAAGTTTCCTTGATTTTGATCAACATCTTCAGACAGAAAATTTCGCTTTACGTGGGGAACTATAAAACCGAATTCAGAAATAGTGACTTCTCCCAATAGATCCGTAATTGGAGACATTAGTAAAGGTAAAAAATATAAAGCTGTCCTTGTAACAGGCCGTGAAGGCCCATACGGTTGTCAGACATCGAAGCTCCCACATTTTCTAGACAGTCGGCTCACAGATGGTAGTGAGGTTGTCAGCCTTATGTGCCGGCCACCCTTTACCCCCAGGACAATTCCTGCTACTCATTTCTGTTAGAGGATGAGTCGACCCCAAGGCCATATTGAGGCTGGAAGGATTAGGTAAATTGAAAAAAACTCAATGACCTTTCTGGGAATCAAACCCGCAACCTTCCGCCTTGTAGCATAGTACCTAAACCAACAACGCTACCGAGTGGCCTCTATTAGTAAAGTTAAAAAGATAAAGTTGTCCCTGTGGCTAACTAATTAAGCACTACGCCATGAAGATGTATGGGGAATGGACGTATAGATCCACGTATTCTTGAAGATATAGTAAACTTACTCAGAATTACTCGGTTTTTGGACTTTGTCCATCGTCTGGTATTCTAGAAACTATAAAACACAACGTTTCGGAAACTGGATTTGTTTCCGTTCTCAGGTGAGGTGGGGGGGGGAGACACCTATTCTGTTGGGTCCCTTAGAAAGAGCTAACCTCAATCATCCTTTAGAATCTACTAATAGTAAACATGTATTGTCTACAGATGTATCCATTTATGTGACCAACAAAAACTGAGTAAAGACAAATGTAGATGTAGACGTAGGAGTTGTTAACATAGAAACACGTGTAAATTTGGATCCGGACGCAGTAGCAACTGACACAACTTGACCTGCTGGCTGATGCAATTACAGATAAACACAAGGCAATTTCCTGCCCTTCTTCAACAAGCGGATACGTATTGTCAGACGCAGGTTTCGATGTCCTGTCTTCACCAAGTACCTCCATCTAGTGTCGAAGTAAAAAAAAAAATGTTGAGCTATACCCCCACTCCCCCATATGTCTTCATGGCAGAGTGCTTAACTAATTAAGCACAAGGATAACTTCTTGCCTTTATCTTCACGAAGTACCGAAGTTACTTTATTTTTTTTTATATTTTATCTATTAAGACGTTATGTAATTCAGATTTATTTGTAAAACTACTTTCTTTAAAGCTGGAGTTCTGCTGCTTAATTCGCTACCAGTTTGTGTACTTTCTGATCCCTACGTGGAATGCGCAATATCGTCTGACTATAAGAATACACGAAGAGTGCTTGCTGTTTCTGGGTAATAATGTCGTGTAGTCCACTGAAAGTCAGCCGACGTTTTGGAGGAACATATCGCCTCCATCTTCAGGGTCGAATAAGCAGAGGAAGATTCCAGTTAGAAAGAAGGTTGCCCCAGCTTGCCACCTGCTTTCACACTGATATCTTGCTCTGCTTATTCGAGACTGAAGATGGAGGCGATATGTTGCTCCGAAACATCAGTCGACTTACAACGGACTACACGGCATTAAATCCCAAAAGACAGTACTCTTCATAACCATTGCTGTGAAACCTCAAACCTTGTATAAGAATCACACAATCACACGCCTTACAATTGTTAGCCTACACAATTTCTCGCCGACGAGGGACAGTCAGTCTCAGAATCCGCCAGAGAAGACAGTCCAGCATCGGCGAGAAATTGTGTAGGCTAACAATTGTAAGGCGTGTGATTGTGTAAGCGTGAAGAACAATAAATGTTCTACTGAATCCGAGACCCGTGTGAATTTATTTGTCGCGTTATACGCCCAACACGTGACAATATGTTACCATACATTATGTGGATGACCCGTGCATTATATTACTGATTGTATAAAACGATACCTGATCACGAATTATGAGTGTAGTCATATAACATTTCAGTAATTGAGATATTTATATCCTGTAATGACATTGTGCAAAACGTATAATGAATTACTTTTATACTTTCACTACTCTATTCTGTTAACTTACTCTGACATCCCTGCAATTTCCAAAACAATGCTTAAGCTCGATATATATTGTGAAATGACGGCTGAAAACCGGAACAGTGGAATGAATGCCAATGCTAGACAACGGCACCATAAACAAGTGTCCGCGGCAACAAATAAATACGCAACAGCGGAGGAGCCGTCAGAGACGGTGTCTTCTACACGTTCCATGCCGAAGTTATATGGAGAAGACCACCTGGATAAGCAGGAAAGTTGAACCGGGCAGCCTGAAGGTTCCCAAGCCCCTCTGACGGTAAGATATAAAAATGAGTCCTCCGAAGCTGAATGACTTCCAAAGTAGTGACACAGCAAATTGAGGTTATCAGTCCTGCGGGACCAGGAACTCAGAATGACCATGCAGGCAAGGACCAGCAGCAATTTACCCATCGTCGTTAGATTCATAACCAAGATTCAGTGTGCTGGCGAGGACCAGCAACAATATATCAGTCAGTCAGTCAGTAAGCAGAAGAGTTGATGATCAGTCAAAGGTCAGAGTTGACGGTTAGTATTCTCGAACTGCATTGTTAACAGTTTCTACCTAGCAATGACTAAAGGATAAAGAAGAGACTTCCTGTGTGCTGAAATTATAGGGCGTGTGAATTGACCACATTTTATAGACAGGAGATGGCATTCAAACATACCTGATGTCTGATCGTTCAGGAGAGCAGATTTTGATCCTGGCCACTATCTGGTGGTGGCAAAAGTTAGGGAGAGACTGGAGCTTGAGTAAACAAACAATGCACAGAGTTCATATGAAGACGTTCAAAATAAAGAAATTAAATAAGGTAGAGGGTAAAGGGTAGTATCAGATTGAAATGTCAAATAGGTTCACAGCTTTGGAAAACTTAAACACTGAGGTGGATATTAACAGAGCTTGGGAAACTATTAGAGGGAATATAAAAATTTCAGTCAAAGAGAGTCTAGGTTGTTATGAATTGAAGAAGCATAAGCCATGGTTCAATGAAGGATGCTCAGAATGATTAGATAAAAGGAAAGAAGCCAAGTTGCAGCGGTTACAGGATCCAAGCGAAATAAATGTGGATAATCTGAAAATATAAGACGTGAAACCAGCAGGCATTTCAGGAAAAAAATGGGATTATCTGAAAAACAAAATAGATGAGCCTGATATGAAGAGTAAGAACAAGAATATTAGAGACCTGTATAGAGGAATAAATGATTTTAAGAGGGGTTACCAGCCTAGCAGTAACTTAGTGAAGGGTGAGAATGGTGATCTGCTTGCAGATTCCCACAACATTTTGAATAGGCAGAAGAACTACTTCTTTCAGTTATTGTACGTACGTAGGGTCAGAGATGTTAGGTAGGTAGAAATACATACAGCTGAGCCGTTAGTATCTGATCCTAGTCCTTTTGAGGTTGAAACTGCTATTGCCAAGTTCAAAAGGTATAAATCACCTGGTAGTGATCAAATTCCAGCAGAACTGATTCAAGCAGGAGGTGAAATATTATGTTCTAAGATCCATAAGCTAATTAATTCTATTTTGAATAAGGACAACCTGCCTGATCAGTGGAAGTAGTCTATTATTGTACCAGTTCACAAGAAGGGTGATAAAACTGATGGTAGTAATTATTGTGGGAAATCACTGCTATCAGCTTCATACAAAATTTTATCCAATATTCTTCTCTCGATGTTAAGTCCATATATAGATGAAATTAAGCAGCCAGATTAGCGTAGTCAGTATAGCGACTGTCTATGAGCTGGACGACCGAGGGAAGAGAGTTCGAGTCCTGGTAGAGCCAAGAATTTTTTCTTGTCCACGTCGTCCAGACCGGCATTGGGGTCCAACCCACCTCCTATCCCTGGGGGTAAAGTGGCCAGGGGGTAAAGCTGCCAGGGGGTGAAGCTGACCACTCAAATCCAGCTAGTGCTGAGTTCTAGAAAATGTGAATCTATGCATCCACTTCCCCATATGTCTTCATTGTGTAGTGCTTAATTAGTTAAGGACAGGGACAGCTTTACCTTTAGAGATGAAATTGTTGGGGATCATCACTATGGGTTTTGATGTAAGAGATCAAGTACCAATCAGATCTTTTTCATTTGTCAGGTACTGCAGAAAAAATGGAGTATAATGAGACAGTACACAGCTATTCCTAGACTTCAAGAGAGCCTATGATTCAGTTAGGAGGGAAATATTGTACAATATTCTCATAGAGTTTCAGGTACCCAACAAACTAGTTCAGCTGATTAAACTGTGTTTAATTGAAACATATAGTAAACTCTGTATAGGTAAATATTTGTCTGATCATTTTCCTATCCAAAATGGTTTCAAACAAGCAGATGCTTTATTGCTACTACTTTTCCACTTTGCTTTATAATGTGCCATCAGGAAGGTCCAGGGAAACTAGGTGGGACTGAAATTAAACGGGACACATCAGCTGTTGGCCTGTGCCAATGATGTGAATCTACTGGGTGATAACATAGATACCATAAAGAAGAACACAGAAACTTTAATTGGTGCTAGTAAGGAGGTTGGTCTAGAAGTAAACACTGAGGAAACTAAGTACATGTTGTAAGATTTGAGGCTTCCACGGCGGTGACTATGAAGAAAGCAGTCTTCTGGGATTTGGCACCGTGTATATGTGGTGTTAACATGGTGCCAAATCCCAGAAGACTGCTTAAGTACATGTTGCTGTCTCATCACCAAAATGCAGAGCAAAATCATGACATCAAGATAGGAAACAGATGTTTTGAAAATGTGGCACAGTTCTGATATTTGGGAACAACTTTAATCAATCAAAACTTGGCTCAGGATGGAATTAAGATGAGATTGAATTTGGATAATACTTACTACCATTCAGTCCAGAACCTTTTGTCTTCTCGTCTGCTGTCCAAAAGCATAAAAATTAGAATATAGAAAACAATAATTTTGCTTCTGACTCTGTGTGGGTGTGAAACTCTGAGTTTAAGGGAGAATTATAGACTGAGGGTGTTTGAGAACAGGGTGCTGAGGGGAATATTTGGACTGAAGAGAGATGAAGTGACAGGAGGTTGGAGAAAACTGCATAATGAGGAGCTTCATACCTTGTACTCTTCCCCAAGTATAATTAGAATGATCAAGTTGGGAAGGATGAGATTGCTATGGCATCAAGCACGAATGGGTGAGAAGAGGAATGTGTATAGGCTATTGGTGGGAAAGCCAGAAGGAAAGAGACCACTAGGAAGACCAACACATAGGTGGGTGGATCATTTTATAATGGGTCTTGGAGAGATAAGATGGGATGGTGTGGACTGGATCGATCTGACTCAGGATACGGACTAGAGGAGGGCTCTTGTGAACACGGTGCTAATCTTGAGGTTTCACAAAATGCCCGGAAATTCTTGGGCAGCTACACAATTGGTGGCTTCTCAAGAAGGGCTCAACTCCATGGAGTTAGAGTGCGGGAATGTGTGAGACTAGTTTACGTTACATTACATTGCATTGCATTCCATGGATCCAAAGTTAATCAAAATGACTGTAGGATGTGGAATATGTCATATAAAGACAAAACATATGTACAGTCCCAATGGAGTTCTCACACAAGGGAAACCAAGAATACACATTGACTACATACAAGGCTATTTAAAGACACATAAGTTATTTTCTAGGCAACAGGTATTCATCAACGGAGTAGAAAGTATCGTTTCAGTGCTATTTTAAATTGTGACTTTTCATTCATAAGACCTATGAGATCAGATGGCAGGTTATTAAAACTTTTTATCCCAGCATAATATGCGCTTTTATGAAAACATGAGAGGTTAGCAATGGGTTTATGAAGACAGTGTTTGTGTCTTGTGTTAAGACTGTGTACANCCGGTCCACGCACTGTACCTGTAAGCTGAGAAGCCTTATCTATGTTTGTCCTTGAGTGCGGTGATTCACACTAGCAGTAAGCTCATGTGGCTCATATGCTACCTACAGAGCCTACAGAGTACGTTGTGGCAGCATCGTGAATGGTTGGTAAATTACGTGTAGTTGTGCGGAGTTGCTGAAATGTCTTTTGTGTTTTTGCACGTTGAATATTGTGATATGCTCTTTGTGTATGGATTTTCCGGTGGCAATGCACGTGCTGCTGTTGAAGAATACCAAAGGCGTTTTCCCGATCGAAGGATTCCATCTCAAAGTGTATTTACGCGAATTCAGCAGACATTGCGTGATACTGGTTCTCTTCCGAGTGTTTCTGTGCAGTCTGAAAGGGAGGATGTACGAATGATAAACACACAAGAGAACATTCTTGAGATGGTTCAGAGAAGTCCGTGTCTGTCCACTCGTAGAATGGCCTCTCGCATCGCCGTATCATGTATGCAGGTGTGGTGAATTTTACATGATGAAGAGTTGTATCCTTACCATGAACAAAGGGTACAACATCTGGAACCAGGCGACCATGCTCAGTGTATGGATTTGTGCCACTGGATAAAAGCTCATCCCGAACTGTTAAGCGTCATTTTATTCAGTGATGATGCATCTTTTACCCGGGACGGTGTAAATAATTTACAAAATGTGCATACGTGTTCCCATAATAATCCACATGAGATAATGAAAACGAAATTTCAAAAGAGATTTTCCGTGAATGTACGTTTAATACAGTTATGTGGTCAGCTTATAGTGCAGCCATGTTACGTCAGCGCTTGCCAGTCATGTGTCATGTATAATGCTTGGAAACCTAAGGACAATTATTACATGGCGAGCGAGTATTTTGTACTTCAATTTTATGGCTTCATGTCACTCACAAGTTAGTTTGATGTTACGTACATTATTAACATTACAGAAACCACATATTCCTGCCAGTTTTAATATGTATTTTGTAATCAACAAGTGTGTAACACCGGTCAAAGTTTCACACTTCTCTGGCCATTATCTCCGTAACCGTTAAACTTTGGACAAAGGTGTTTTGGGTTATATCGGCATACTTTAACATAAGGAACACCCTCCCGAAGTTTTGACCATTCCTCCTGGGACACCCTGTATATATATATATTCACAAGGCAAAGTTAAGATCTGTAGTCTCTCAAATCGATCTCTACAGAAATTACGAGATTTGACACCCATCATGATTCTAATAATTTTCTTTTGCAATATATTTTTACTGTCAGATGAACTACCCCAGATAATTATCCAATACTTCTGTGGGAACTGCCCACATTCAAGCAAGTGTGACAATGCAAGCTTCATTGCTTAGCAATGACGAGTAAACAGCGGTTGCTAGGCAAAGCCTACAACAATACGGACAGTGACATGTTTTCTATATGTCCAACTCTAGGTTACATAAGAAGATACATTGAGTGGAAGTTACAGTTCTACAATTCTAGTTCAGTGTTCAAGGAGTTCACTATTGTTATTGTTATTCTTCAATTCTTCAAAATCAAGTTCATCCGTGTATACTGTGCAACTGTAATAAATACTATAGGACAGTTCAACTAGTGGTTGTCTCTTCATATAATGACATCCCAAACTTCATCAAAGAGTGAAAGTAAGCACAATAGATTGATTTGAGAGTGTCAGTGTTACTAATATGTAACATGAATCTAATTGCATAACATGCTCTACTTAGCTTTGGAATCAACTGACTGATATGGTTTTTCCACTTTAAATGATTATCAATTTGCAAGCCAAGGAATTTTGTGTTTACTCCCTCTTCTATATATTTATCATTATATCCTATGTTTAATGGATATTTTGGTGAGTTTTTTGTTATAAATTTTATTACATTTGTTATTTCTAGGTTCAGGGACAGCTTGTTTCTAGAAAAAATTTACTCATTTGCAAAAGAACCTTGCTTGATAACATGCAGAAATCATCTAAATTTTTACTCCATGTTTTATTATTCTCCAGCTTCAATAGGTACTTTGGATTGAATTTGATGATTTTATTTCAATTTTGTGTTTTCTATCTGTTAGGTAGGATCTAAACCAATGTAACGTTGTTCCTTGAATGCCAAAAATATGTAATTTAGTTAATAAAATTTCATGATTTACACAGTCAAAAGCCTTTGCCAAGTCACAGAATATTTCACCAACATACATTTTTTTTATTAAAAGATTTCAAAACACTGTTAACTTAAAGGCTGCATTTTCAATGGAAATTCCTTTCCTAAAGCCAAACTGTTCTGGAACTAGTATATTGTTACTCTGAAAATAATGGCTTATTGTACGCCATAGCGATCATATTGGCAAGGAAGTTTTATATATTATTATTAAAATGTATACTTACTGTCTAATTTCATGCCAGGAATAGTCCGTTGTCATGTATTCTCCTTTTCTGGGTGTTTCTACGCTGGAGATGTTATTTTTAATATTGGCGCGTTTTATACGTGGAACCTATAATCAATGATATTTCAAAATAAACCTTGTTCTGAAGCTTTATGTTACATTATCAGTATATTTATATTGTTTATTCATTTTATATACTACTACATGAGAAAAATGGCGTGTATTATATGGCTATGTTAGACTTTCTTATGTAACTATGACTACAGGTGTTTCTTACTTCCTATTTGTCCAGTAATCAGCTGCAATAACAGATAAATAAAAGAAATCTCTGTTACAAACCGAATTTGAATGTCACTGTAATGATCAAATGTGATAACGTCCGGAATTACCAGTAAATCGGTAAGCAATATGTTAGATATAGTACATGAACTGTAAACATTCTTGAATTAATATTGTAGCTTATATGTGTAATGTCGGAAGGGTTGCAGAGAGGAACTGTGGCAATCTGATCTGGGTGGAAACCAAACAGCATTGGTATGCCAAATCCAGCATATAACGACGTCATTACGAACAAATGAAAAATATTTACCGACTTGTGTGCTGAAAGTATATGTACGAATATGATATTATGAATTACAATTCGCTATAGTAGTGATTTGAAGGTTAGAGACGAAAAGTAACCAGTTGTGCACTTTTACAGTGAGAGTGCAAGATTACGAAATTGATTAGAAGAATGGCGGCTGCAAATGAACCAGGCTCGTCTAAAAGCAGTAATGGAGAAGAAAAAGAAAAAGACGAAACAATGTTGGAGTGCAATATCTGTTTGGATGCTGCAAGGGATGCTGTGGTCAGCATGTGTGGACATTTATTTTGGTATGTTGGACAGTGAAATTCTACTTTCTTAAAGACATGTTGAGGCAGTGTCTTGTTATTGGTATTTGTGTGAAATAGTTCAAAAGGCAAAAGTGTTTGAAATGCAGTAGAAACTGGTCACATTGTGTACTGTTCTCCCTACCTACCGATTTGTGCCCCTTCAGTTTTGCTGTTGTGTATTCTGGTATGTCATCTGTGCCATTAAATTAAAATAAATGTGAACAGTTTCAATAAGATTAGGGTAAAAGTCTGACAGAATATTAAGTTTTATGAATAACAGTAATTTCTGGCATGGTTATACTTATTTTTTGCATGTTATACAATTCTGTGGAAAATGTCATCACATTGAAATGAAAACTGCTATGGTTTTAACAAAAATGTTGGGCTTTAAAAGTTCAAGGCAATGACAGCTGTTTTGCAAAGAAATCTGAGTTTGCTTTGCACGTTACTGAAGATACACATTGCAAATGGAGATGAGAATCTATCACCTATGTGTGAAGACTGGAAAGATTTTGTAAGATGTATTAGAAAATGGTAAATCCATGCCAGTATAGGAGGTATTTATGCAAGATAGGAGTATTCTAAATATATGGAGAAAGTGATTGTTCATGCATTATAGAAACAGTTTATATTTCTGGTATTTACAGAATTTCAGTGAATATTTTCTCTTAATACCATCTAGTCTCCTGTTTGAGTATGTGGGAAATTAGTTGAATGTTGTGTATCAGTTCTGTACACCATGGTATTAAACATAGGTCATTATGATGTCTTTAATTGATTAAAGAAAGACCAGAGCCTGTATGCCCCTTTTGTGGGGAGCCATGGGACTGTAAATATGAACCTGACCTTGTGAATAGCATACCTTTTCTGTTATTGTCACAAAAATTTGGAGGAAGAGCAATGAATATGTTGAATAATCAATTGTCAATTATGTATATATGGGGGTTTGAACTTTAACAGTGGTAACTATTTATTTACAGCTGATACAAAATAGATGCATGTTTCAAAGTTTTACTGTCCTTCACTGTAGTCACCAGCATTGTATACAACCCAGTGACAGTGATATGGAAGTCGTAGGATACCTTTGGCGGTACCAGTTGTGTTGATGGTTCAAATGGAGCGGTCTACTGCCTGAAGAATCTCTGGAACATTTCTGAAATGAATGCCATGAAGTGGTTCCTTCATCTTAGGAATCAAGTCGAAGTCACTAGGGCTTAAGTCCGGGGAGTATGATGGATGGTACAGCACTTCCCAGCCCCATCGATCGAACAAATCAGCCACAACTTGCATGCGGCTGAGCATGTCCTGCAAAATGATGGGTGGGTTCTGCAGAAAGTGTTGCCGCTTCTTTCTCAAAGCTGGTTGCAGGTTGTGTTCTAAAAATGAACAGTAATACTGCGCATTGACGGTCTGCTGTCAGGGAATGGTATGCGTTAGGATAACACCATCACAGTCGTACATAACTTTCACATTGCTGGGGTTCTGACAAACTTTTGATTTTCGTGGTGACCTGTAATGACTCCATTCATTCGATTGGCGTTTCATTTGTGGCTCATACAATTTGGCCCATGTCTCATCCAGTGTAAGAAAGCCTCTCCTTTGCGCTCCAAGTGGTAATGAGCAGCGTCGTATCATATCCATTTCAGCATTTCCGTCAAATCATGTGGAACCCATTTCGATGCAGTTTTTCTCATGCTCGGGCGTTCCTTCAGAATGTGAAGCACAGTCGTATGTGCTAATCCTGTCTCTTGGGCCAGCTCACGAATCGTATGGTGTCGACCACTCTCCAGTAATGCGGAAAGAGCATACACGTCTTCACTGACACTAGGATGACCTGGACGACCTGGCCGACACATGTCTGCCACATTTTGGTGTCCCTCATTGAAGGCTTTTACTCACCTTGCCACTGTTCTTTAAGGCAATGCAGATTCCCCGCAAGCCTCTTGAAGACCTTGATGACACTGTTGTGCTGTACGGCCTCTGGCACATTCAATCTTTATCCAACTCTGTTGTTCCTGTTTCAAAAACATCGTGACAACACTACATTAGACCGCCAGCTAACATGAGGCTCTGTTCTTTTTGTCACTGCGCATGCACGTGATGTGGGAAGGGAGAGTCAATTTTCCCTGAGGTAAGGTAGGTATGTAACTAACGTGTGGTATAAGTGACATTATTTGGTTCCATTGCATGGCATCTCTACAGCAGTGTTGCCACTATTAAAGTTCCAACCCTCATATGGTAAGGTTCAGTCTTCCAGCCTAGATATGAGATTTAACAACCTGATTTGAAATGCTGCATTGTTAGGGATTGCAATAGGAGAATTCTGTATACTTGAGAATGAATTTGGGGGAAAAAAAAAAGGAAAGCATATTTGCCCACAATTTTCTTATTCACTGCCTCTTAAACTGTTTTACTTTTTGCAGTTGGCCATGTTTGCATCAGTGGTTAGAGACTCGTCCAAATCGCCAGGTATGCCCTGTTTGTAAAGCAGCCATCAGCAAGGAGAAGGTTGTTCCTCTATATGGAAGAGGAAGCACCAAGCAGGAAGATCCTAGGTTAATCCACTTTACTGTTGAATTAACACTGTCATTTTCAGCATCTGTACTGCTGACTTACATATTCACTTTTTTTTTTTTTGATTATATAGTGATATATATATAGTATTTCATGGCAAAGAAATGAGTAGCAAATTATCTGCATACTTCCAAGGAATTAATAAAGGTAGCTTCATGCATTGATGAGGGGGCACACAGTAGCATAGTTGGTTGAGGCACTATGCTATAAGCAGGACAGTTGCAGGTTCAAGTCCTGGACTTTTTTCAACTGACCTAATCCTTCCAGCCGCACTATGGCCCTGGGGTCGACTCAGCCTCCAACAGAAATGAGTACCAGGAATATTCTTGGGGGTAAAGGGTGGCCGGTGCATAGGGCTCACAACCTAACTGCCGTCTATGAGCCGATTGTCTAGATAATGTGGGAACCTCAACATCTCACAACCCTATGGGCCTTCACGGCCTGTTACTTGGATACCTCTACATTTACTTTACTTTTTTCTTACATTGATGACAGAGGAAAAAACTGTGCCCAGAAAGCAATTCTGAGAGAGAAATATATCGTTTTCTCAGACCTTGGTCCATTCTGGGATGTGAAGTTCCTTATAGATAAGGGTGAAACAGGATAGGTTAACAGAACCTTCACAGGTTGCTACCCAGAAGGACATTCCAGATCAGGAAGAACCATAGAGAAAGACAGGAGTAGAGCCACATATACACAGAACTACTACATCCAGACTGCACATAAGAAAACCTTTTATATATGTTTAGTTTTAATGATTTAACATTTAACCATAAAGGTGAACACACCTTTTTATATATAACAGCAATACAGACTACTAAGAAAACCAGTATTCCTATATGTAATCACTGGTCAGTGTAGGAATACTAGCACATGAATACAGGTGAATGTAAACAGGTCAAATACTGGATGATGGCTTAATGAGCAGAAACATGTTGTAAGAAATGACGAATGAATGTGTCCATATTACCTATTGTGGCGATGGAATAAAATAAAAAAATTTCACACACAAGATACAAGGTTTCTAACTATTTTGAAGCCAAACTGTTAAGTATAGTGCGTGTAAGGCAGTCATTGGAAACCATGGTGGCTAGTCAGGAATCACGTGACAAATGTGCTGCAGAAAAACCCTTGAGTCATTTGATCGTTTTCCATGTGTAGAACATTAAGAAACTGATGGTTTTGTCATCATAATGAAGCCCTCATTATAATCCATACTCATTCTACCACATTTTCACCATATGTCCAGTATATAATGACATGTTACACATACGTATAGCTGTGACCTGCAGGGAGTAGTTACACAAACACTTAACGATTTTCTCTTTTTCCTTTAGAAATAAAGTTCCTCCTCGGCCACCTGGACAGCGTTCTGAGCCTGAAAATAACAGTGTAAGTATGCCTGTATATCATGTTTAATTATGGCTTGTTGTCTCCTGATTACTTCACAGGTAACAGTTATAGAGTACCTTATTACAAGAACAGAAGTATGATAAAATAATTTTTAACTAAAATATCATAAATTTCCAACTTGCAAGAAGTAATCTAGATAATACACAACTGGATATGAATTCAAGATGGGTTCATGAAGCTTAAAGACCAGAGGCAGGATTTTGTGAGCCTGTTAACCTTTGGAAAAGATGAGGAACAACTTGACCTACTGTGTGATTATTAGCTTATAGAGAACTCTGTTACATGGAGTTTGTGAGGGCTGCTAACTTTCAGTGTGTCACTAGCTGTCATGTTTTACTGTCAGACTCTTCTTTTTGTAGGGATTTCCTGGTTTTGGATTTGGGGATGGTGGTTTCCACATGTCATTTGGAATTGGTGCCTTCCCATTTGGATTCTTCACCTCTACCTTTAATTTTGGAGAACCAAGGCCTAGTGCAGGTATAAAAATACATTAGCTGCCTTTGGTAGGATATTTGCTTCATAAACTCAGGTGAATATAGTGTGAACTAAAGTACTGTATTTTCCCTTCTAGCTCCTCGAGGAACTCCGCAGTTTGAAGAAGAACAGTTTTTGTCAAAAGTATTTTTATGGGTGGCTGTTCTTTTCATTTGTTGGCTCTTGATGGCATAGTATTGATCTGGTATAATTTTACAGAAACCTACTTTAGCATATTTTACTTTCTGGTGACCGCTGAAAATTATAATAGTACATCTCAACAATCTGAGCTTTTTGGTAAGCAAATGTCATTTGGGGAACTGAAGTAGGGGCTAGTAAGAATTTATATTGAGTCTCTTTATATTATATTTTAATACTGTAGAACAAAAAAATAATTATATACTGTACTGGATTTTTTCAATTGACCTAATCCTTCAAGCTGCACTATGGCCCTGGTGTTCACTCAGCCTCTAACTGAAATGAGTACCAGGAATTAATTAAATAATTTTCCTGGGGAGTAAAGTGCGGCCGGTGCATAAGGCTGACAACCTTACCGCCATCTTTGAGCTGATTGTCTAGATAGTGTGGGACCCTCAACGTCTCACAGCCCTATGGGCCTTCACAGCCTGGTACAGGGATAGCTTTACTTTACTTATGTGAAGATATGGTTGTCTGGGTTGTAATGCTGTATAGTTCAGAGAAAGCCTGACATACTGGAGGAACATCATATCACCTTCATCTGCAGGGCTGTGCAAGAAACCAGCAGAAGTAGGTGGCAAGCATGTTCCTCTGAGACATCAGGCTTTCTCCAAACTACATGGTATTACAACCCAAAAAACCATAATCTTCATAGCCACCATTGTGAGAACCTTAAATCCAACTCTTCTGCATTTAAAATCTGAAATGTATGGTTGCATATTCCTGGAGACAATCTGCAAGAAATTTAAGGGAAATATCAAATTGTGAAATTTTGAAGTGACTATATAAAAACGTACTATACATCAAAAGGCATCCATGCACACAGCCCTATCTGTAAGAACTGATTTCACTAATAAATTTTAATATATGTTTTTGTATGTGTTCCCCTCATTTTGATTTTTGCATTTTAACATATATTTTGAAACCACTTTTCTTTCAGTTTTTTTAAATAGAATGTCTACTTATTTTTGCTCTCTTCTCTGAATAAACAAATTACAGGTTTAAGTCAATATGTGTTTACAAGACAATGTTCCATATTTCTGCATTACTGTTCCTGTAAGAAATGCTTATATTATCAGGCTTGTGTCCCCCCATATCAGTGTTTAAAAATGGCATGAGGCCTAGGGGACATAGCTGGTATGTTGTTATCCTCTTGGTGGTATGTTGTTATCCTCTTGGTGCTGACTTTTTCTTTCTGATATTACTAAAATAATCTCTAACTTATATCTTCATTATGGACAGTTTCATTATTAGTATTCTAACAAAAATTCCTAAAAAATAAAATGAAACAGGGCATTCACCCACTGAAAGAAAAAATCAACTGGAACTTGACTGGGAATTTTGTATTTGTACCTTTATAAAGGTCTTTTTCATCACCTGTTTCAAACAAATCTGTGGTGAATTCTGGTAATGTATTTTGATTTGTTGATCATATACGATGGGGTACCCAAAAGAAACCGAACTCATTTTTTTGTGGGCAGAGCTTTCGTAGTACCGTGTTTAGCCGCTGTGAGCGCATAGAGCTAACATTCCTGAGTCGATAAGCTGACTACCGTTGCTTCAGAAGGTAAGGACTAGTTTCGGCAGAGTTTATAGTGACAACTGTTTTGTGTGAACGTCATTTTTGCAGTGGCTGATTTTCGTGTGTCGACGAAATTCTGCTTTTTGCTCGGGAAAAGTGGAACAGAAACTCTTGAAATGTTAAAACGGCGTACAAGGACGATGCTATGGGGAAAACTCCAGTGTTTGAGTGGTTTTCCCGTTTCAAAAATGGTGAAATGTCAATTGATGACAAACCTCGTTCTGGTCGTCCTTCCACGGCCCGAACACATGAAAATGTTGACAAAATTCGTGACATCATCAAGGAAGATCGACGACGGACCATTGAAGAAATTGTGGAGCTGTCGGGAGTGACTTGGAGCTCAGCAGCCAGATTTGTGGCTGTCGGGTGACTGGTTTTTCCATCATGACAATGCCCCTGCTCACACAGCCCTGTCTGTATGACAATTCTTGACCAAAAATGGTATGACCCCTGTTCCTCACCCTCCATACTCACCTGACCTTGCCCCGTGCGACTTTTTTTTGTTTCCTCGAATGAAAAGAGACATGAAAGGAAAGCGTTTTGCTGATGTTGCTGATGTGAAGGAAAAAACGACGGAGGCACTGTCAAGCATCTCAAAAGATGAATTTAGACAATGTTTTGAAAAATGGAATAAAAGACTAGACAAGTGTATTAGTGTAAGTGGAGAGTACTTTGAAGGGGATTGAAGGTTTGTGCTTAAAATTTGAATAAATAAGTTTAAAAAAAATAAGTTCGGTTTCTTTTGGGTACCCCCTCGTACTCCACATTTATGATTTTGACAATCCTGGAATAATCTGACTAGCAGTTTAGTAATAAACTATTTGCAAAGGAAACCCTGTTTCAGGGAAGTTAGGCTACTTTAAATTATAAAGGTCCAAAAACAGCTTATCCAGTAACAATTTGTCACCTACCTTACAGACAGAGGAAGATCTTTGTTTTTATAATCTGTAATTTACAATGTTAACTGTTCTGTTTATTAATATATTATTAGATTGTTCTGTGGTATGATTAATCTTGAGATACTATACTAATATCTGCAAGGGTTTTAAAACCCACCAGTTACAGTGTGTCCTCACAACACAGTTTTGAACATCTCCCACTGAACATGACACGCAGTGGAACCTGTGCATTGTAGGAGGACATTTAACGCATTAATATTGCCCTTCAAATAGATTACTGAGTTTTCTGTATAAATAAAATGACTTCCTTTCCAACTGAATGTGTGTTCAAGTTTCCGCATTCCCCATTGCTGTCATCTATGGTGTTCTTGAATACTTGAATTGCTTTGGGATGTGCTGTGTAATGGGAATATGAGTGGATTTTCTAACCAGTAGTAGGATTAAAATAATTGTTACAAATATTATGTTTTTGGACATTATTCACTGTCTTGTATTTAATATAAACATTCTGTTTATTTTTTAAAACGTTTCGGAGACTGGATTCTGTCCCTGTCCTCAGGTAAAACCTACTCAGTTGGATCCAATAGATAGAGCTACTAGTTAGCTATACCCTAGCCCCCGGTCAAGGGATAGGGGCTAGCTCTATCTATTGGACCGAACTGAGTAGGTTTTACCTGAGGACAGGGACAGAATCCGGTCTCCGAAACGTTGTGTTTTAAAAAAGAAACGGCGGTTTTTTGAAAAATAGACAAGATGACGGTAATGTCCAAAAACATAATACTTGTAGCAATATACCATCATCACAAACTTTTAAATCCTAATTAAAATAATTGTAACTTGTAAATAATTGTAATTTGACTTAAGAATAGGAATGAGTAACAGTAACATGACAGGACGATAAACGTCTGATAGATTTCTGTATTATATTGTCTTCCCAATTTCCTGTTGGAAACAGTGTTGTAGTATTTGTGTAAGGGGTGTATGAGAAGTATTGTAGCAACTGCATATCTTTTAAGTCATTAAGTTGACAGCAATGTAAATGGACAACTCAATTTCTAAATAAAGATTTGTATCTTATACTCTGATTTATTTTACTAGCAAATATGTCATATTTGTTATATGTCCTTGTACTTAAATAAGCAAGCACTATGCCATGAAGGTGTATGGAGGAGTGGATGTATAGACCTATGTCTTCTTGACCTTGGCACTGGCTAGAGGTGAGTGGTCAGTCACGCCCCGGCTGCTTCACCCCCGGGGAAAGAGCCCCTGGTAGCCATTGGAGAGGAGGTTGGGTGGACCTCTGAGCCGGTGTCAATGACATGGAGAAGTGAAAATTCCTGACTACACCAGGACTCAAACTCTGACCCCTTGGTTGTCCAGCCAGTAGCCAGTCACTATATCAACTGCTGTCCCGGCTCAGCATAGTTGGTATAGTGACTGACTACAGGCTGGGCAGCCAAGGGGTCAAGGTTTGAGTCTCAGTAGGGTCAAGAATTTTCTCTTCTCCACGTTGTCCAGACCAGCTCTGGGGTCGACCCAATCACCTATGTGGCTGAGCTCACAGGAGGCATACACAGACATACAAAATGTATTCCCTGATACAAGTGCCTCAATTTTTCCAATGACTATGTTGAGAAGTAGTTTAAGTATGTACAAATTTTTTGTATATAATTTGTTTTATTAACAACTCCAAACAGCCCTCATACATTACCATTTTTTTATATTTCACCATAATCATCCTCCCATTTAACCGAACAGCCCAACTGATATGGAGTAATTAAGGAATCTAATAACCAGCCTTTAACAGGAAGCAGGCATTTCTCTCAGAACTTCATTTGTCTCATAATGAGCTCTAAATCCTGGAATTTCATTCATTTATGACTGAGCATAACCAAACAAGGAGATGAAAACATACATCAGTTTCTATCCTAAAATATCATAGGCTGCATCTGTTCTAAGACTGATTTCTTATCATGTTACTTTAGATATTTTTCTTTTAGGTTGCTCTTCAAAGAGTCCATTCTTAACATGTAATAATGCCACTTGCTTACTAATGCTTGGATTCTTTCTCCTAAAGCATATATATACACAAGGGTTGGAACTTTAATAGTGGCAACACTGCTGTAGAGACGCCATGCAACAGAACCAAATAATGTTGCTAATACCATACATTAGTTACATACCTACCTTACTTCAGGGCACGTGGCCTCTGTAGTCTAGGGGTAACGTTCCCACCTCATGATTCAAGGTATGCCGCGGGTTCAAACCCGGCGGAGGTCGTGGAATTTTTAAGGGTGGAAAAATTCAGGGAACAAGTCCTCTGGAAGGGACTTTAAGCCGTGGGTCCCGTGTCGTAGATTTACGGCACGTAAAAGATCCTCATGTCTCTAGGAGACCTCTGAGCAAAATTAGGCAAAGTTTCCCGCCCAAGTAGTTTCCAATGCCTCCGGTAGATGGGGAAGTTATCAGGTACCACTGCTAGCCTCGATGGCTGAACGGGGCTGATAGTGAGCACCAGTACCGGCAGGGTACTGACTGGTAGAATATCAAAGGGGGACGTACAATAGACTATTAGTCTACGTCCCACCCCCTCCAATAATAATAATAATAAATACCTCAGGGCAAATGGATTCTCTCTTCCCACATCATGCACATGCACAGAGACGAAAAGAACAGAGCCTTGTGTTAGCTGGCGGTCTAATGTAGTGTTCTCACGATGTTTTCAAAACAGGAACAACGGAG